TGGCACAGAAATCAATTAGCCCTGTGCATAGAAGAGGCACGTGTCCAGGTTATCTGCCATTTAGTGTAAATCCTCACGGGATGCTGCTGGGATCCTCCACACCTGCTGTTCTACTCACCCCGCTGCATGTCCACATCCCACTGTGCACGTGCCGTACATTTACAGGAAGTTATTCCAACCTGGCTTTTTCCTTTCATAATATGTCACTAAGAGTCAAAGACATCATTTTGTGCAACAGGAAAGGTCCATGAATAGTTTCCCTGGCTCCTCAATCCTACCTGTCTCGCTCCCCCCGGGTGTTTCTGCACACCCAAATCCTGTTGGCAGGTCACAGGGCCTTGTTCCAGTCCCACTCCTGCCCTCACTGCCTTGGCTATGGACAACCAGGGCCTGGGACCCCGGGGCAAGGCCAGGAATGCCCAGCACAGAGCACCAAGCACAGGCACAAACCAAGGGCTGTGTGTCAGCTGTGCTGTGTTTTTGCCGGACGTAGGCGGGAGCAGGAATGTGGACAGGATTGATCTGGGGCTTCCAGAACTCCTCCACCAAACTGACCAGTGTGTCACAGGGCTGGAATGACTGACAGGGCCATTCCCTCACCCCAGGGAGTGTCACCAGGTGAGTCAGAAGGTACTAGGACCAGGTGTTCAAACAGTCACTTTGCAGTTTATTCACTGCCCCGGTGCTGCCCAGAGCTGTGCTGAACACTGAGACTCACGGACTAAGAGAGTGGTTTCACACCAGAAAGTGCATAACCCAAGGGGCTGGGGAGAGAACAGGGAGACCCTGTGCAGGTGAGATGGACCTGCCTGGGCTGGGAAGCGTGGTGTGGACCCGGAGAGTGGAGGTTGGTGATGCAGGGCTGCGTTTTCCCAGGATGGGCGTCAAAGCTCCCAGCCGAGGCTTCCAGCAGTGCCTGCAGAGAGATGGCCCGTGGGGCGGATGGGCTGTCCAGGCACTGCAGGAGCTGCTCGCTGTCCTTCTCAGGGACAGTCGAAATTAGCCAGAGGGTGAGACTTTAATTATTGTTTCCCCCTCCCAACTGCAGAGGATTAAAGTTCTCTGTGCGTCGAACTGCTCAGATAAATCGTTTCCAGCTCTCCCTGGGCAGCCAGGTTTGGATGCAGCCGAAGCCAAAGTCATGTGTGGTACCTGCTTTCAGGGGAACAGTACAGAGTTCCAGCTTATAGTGGTCTCCAGAGGGTTCATGGAACTTGGCGTTTTTAATGGAGCTGCAGAGACAATGGTGTGAGTTCCCAGGAAACACTGATGAGGAAGCCCACATGCACCACTCTTTGGAAAGAAAAGCAGAAATTTTATACCAAGTAACATACTTTTTCTGATGTTAAAGAGACACCAAAATAGTGTCTTGAATAAACACTTGAAATAGTTTCAGGCTGAGATGTTCTCATTGCTTGGTTCTTACCTGATATGATTCAGAGATGTTTATTTCCTGTAAATATTGGCTTAAGCTGGGTCCTGTGTGCATTGTCATGGCAGCCAGAGGCCGCCTTCTCACCTCAAAGCAGCTTCAAATAAGATATAAGAAAGAAAAAACCCAGTACATTTTTCCAGGTGCCTTGAGGGAGTCACAAACCTGGCTCTGTGGTCCCAGTGCTCAGCAAATTCAAGGGCTGCTAAAACTCTTGCAGAGTAAATCAAAACCTGCTCCTGAGCCCAGTTTCTCTGTGGAGGCTGCCTGAGTGGAACAGGTGCTGCATCGAGGCTTCAGTTTTCCCAGGGTGGGAATAACAAGCACGCTCAGCACCTTGTTTGTAAGAGCTGGTTTTGGGAGGGCTGGGTGCTTCCCCAGTCAGTACTCCAGTACAACCCAGTGCCAGGCCTGGGTCACCCAGCTGGGCACGACTGGGTGAGCAACACAAACCAGTGGTTTAAACAGCTCTGAAATGTGCCCTCACCCTCCCTCTGCAGACACAGCCGACAACTCCCTTCATTTCCAGCCTCCAGACATCCAAAATGCTAATTAGAGCACTTAACAAGATTTGAGTCTTCCTTTGGAGATACATTTACAAAATCATCAAAGCACTAACCGCATTTTTCTTCTAACTTTTCCTCCCCCTCAGGGCACAGATATCTCTCTGTTGAGTTACAAGAAAGCAGTTCTCTGGATTGCAGAAATAAGCTCCAAGTTCCAGTTTTACCCTGAAATGTTTGCCCAGCATCTTCAACAGGCTGTTGGCATCAGTGAAGGCAGAGATCTCTCAGCTTTTCCCTGGCCAGATTATTGCCTGGGAATGTAAGGAGCACGTAATCAGTTTACACACAAAGCAGGGACTATGTCTGGCAGCAGATTTAGGGAGCAGTCGGGGTCGTTGCTGGGGAAGGCCTTTAAGCACACACATACAAACATGTATGAACTTGAGTGTTTGATGAGGTTCCACTGATGCACAGTCCTCTTTAGGACTGTTTGTGTGAACTGAGTCCAAATGCTGTGATAAGTCCAAAGAACTCATTATCATCTGGTTGTCTCTGCTAAACACAAAACATTCATGTTATTGCTTTTCATATTTTAGTTTTGAAACTACAATTTTTAACCAAACTATGGGGCTGACATTTTCTGCCACTGGAGCAACAGCAAAGTTAGGAGTTGAGCTGAGCCTTGCAGCTCTCAATTCCATTTAGACTGATGCTGGCATGTAGAATCACAGAATCATTAAGGTTGGAGGAGGTCTCCAAGATCATCAAGTCCAACCTTTGACCAATTACCACCTTGTCAACTAAACCAGAGCACTGAGTGCCACATCCAGCCATTCAGCCAACACCTCCAGGGATGGTGACTCCAACACCTCCCTGGGCTTAACCACCCCTTCCATGAAGAAATTCTTCCTGAAGTCCAATCTGAACCAGTATCTGAGGTGAAAAGAGGAGTAACATTGCATTGTAAATAATGTGGCATTGCATAGTCTAAGAATTGTGGGATACAGGAATAAAGGTTGAACCAATAAGAGGATTTATTCTGCTTCACTTTTGAATTTCCTTGTTCTATTTCCAGATTCTGTAGCTAAACTAATTCAGAAGCAACTGAAATCAAATGAAAGTTTGAAACTTGTGCACGTGTCACAGAATGCAATTATTTCCCCCAAGGCTCTTACCTTCTTTATTCGATGTTTTCTTCTTCTCCCTTCAGGCCCAATTAAAATATCTCCAGTGCATTGCAATTTCTTGTCCTTGCAGCACAAACCAGTGGAGAGGATGAGGTCTGCATGTTTCATTTTCAACACACTAAAAGTTGTTCATGTTTCCAGGTCTTTCAACAACTTGGGCATAATGAAGAAGCGTTAACTTGTTTACCCCAGGTAACAAGGGCTCCTGGATGAGCATTCTGCTTCCCACAGACGTGTTTAACCTTGTCAGATCCCCTCACCATACAGAGAAGCACACACAGCACTGTGTAGGACGTTGGCTTCTTTATTTTTTTAAATTTTTAAATTTTTTTACAGGTAATCCCATTGGTGCAGACACTGGTGGTGCAGAGCTGTAAATGCTCTCCAGCCGAGATCTTGAGAATGGAAAGAATTATCCTGGATGAGCTTCAGCAGGATCTTTACACAGCAACACCAATGGATTTCTTAAACACTGTAAGCACTATGTTTTGCAACTTTTTTCTTTAAAGAAACAACTCCTTATCAAATAAGACTAGAAAACACAGATGCACACACACACACACACACACACACGCACACATCCTTCCCAAGATGCTCTGCAAACTACCTGTTCCTACCTATCTGCAAGTCTTTTAAAGAATATTGCAGTAATTTTATTTTAAAATTAATTTTTA